ATCCCTATCAGTGGAAGGCCCTAAAGATTAAGCAGAGGTAAAAGGGGCTATCCTAAGCATAAATTCATCTGGGACCAAATGATATCAGGTTTGAAAGAGAAACAATTCAAGTCTGAAAACACTGAGGGAACTGAATAATTATTCTTTTAGAATAATTTAAAAGCTTTCCTACCAATGTAATAAGGACATAAGACAGACAGTAAAGGATGCCATATGGAGAGAGCGATGGAAAGAGTTGGAGGATTGAGGTGTTTCTAATTTAATAAAGTTGGGTCATGTTCAGAATGTTGGAAGTTGCAAAGTTAGCCCATGGGAATTGTGAGTAAGAAAAAGAGTGAAAAAAAAAAGGAACTCAAAAGATAATATCATGGGCCAGATTGTAGCTCGAAAGAAATAGCCAAGGTGAATTCTACTATTAGGAAATACGTACGATAGATGGGGGTATACCGTGTTTTTAAATCAAAAGGAAAAAAGTAAGCCTTTCCCCCTGTTGGCAAGGTACCTAAACCCATAACCATACAGAGATCCAAAGACAAGAAAAATCACCTAGTGGAGAAAGGCTTCATTCCCCTCCAGAGTTCATTGAGAGACAAGCATTATTAAATAGGATCAGTGGAGAATATATTTGTTTAATTAAAAGAAAATACAACCATAATACTATTTGTTATCAGGAGAAGTAGTTGTTGTAGTAGTAAACATCTACATGCTGAGGGAGTTGATAAGGATTTGGTAAAAGGTCAAACTCACCCATAATTACAAAATGCCCAAAAAGGAGATTCAAGAAACAATTAAAAGGAACAAGGTCCAGTCATGTTTCCCATCATATGTCAAAACAGAATCATGGTTAATCAAAATCCATCAGTAAAGATGGAGAAAGCACCACAAAAAGTGGAGTGAAAAAACAACTTTTCTGAAAATGAAGGTTTGTCCTCTGGAGTATTTAGTATAACACAAATTGAAACAAAAAAAAAAAAAAGTCCTAAAATAAAACATTAGCACACTCTCTGATACTGAGGCAGAGGCTAGAGTTCCAGAGTGCCTTTGTTCTTAAGAACAGAACAGGGTGTTGACCAGCGAGGAGGTCCCCCTCAGAACCAAAAGTGAATGCACGTAGCCAAGTGCAGTGGAAAGGGGGAAAACCAGCATTGTACAGTACTTTGATTCCCAGGAGGCATTTGATCATAGATTATTGCAAACATGACATGGAAAGAATACTGACAAATCAACTGGGATAATGATCATTTTGGTTGCCAAGATACAATGATGGTGCACCACAAAAATCAGTGATGGGATCTCCACTTTTCACAATCTGACACTTTGAAGGTATGGGTACCAAATTTGCTGACAATACAAAGATATGACATGAAATTCCATCTTTATATTGAGGATACCCTCCATCATATTGTGTGGTACCACTGTGCTATGTGAGAGAGACTTCAAACAGACCTCATAAAAGCAGACATCCTTAAAGCCCCGGAGACTGTCAGAATTGTACTCAAACAATCTTGTAGCCTCAGTCTTGCTTAGCCTCCACTCCAGCGTTAACATCAAACCAGGATATGTACTCTGATGAAGAGTGCAGTAATGCACATAGGTGCAGCACTAGGCATACCTAAAAAATGATTTGTTAACCTGCGAAGTTACAAAGGTCTATTTCCACACTAAACTGTGGAAGTAGCAATTAAACATGTGGACTTGTCTCCTCCAATAAAACATCCCTAATTTGTCTCAGCACAAGACAATGCTGAAGCATTTGCATCCACTTTCAGGTGAAGTGTTGAATGAATGATTCATCTCCACCTCCTTTAGAGGTCCCCACCATGCAATCCTTCAGCAAATTTGGTTCACTGCATATCCTATCAAGAAACAGCTGGATCCACCAGATGCTGCAAAGAATATGGGTCCTGACAACATTCCAGCAATCGTCCTGAAGACTTGTGCTCCAGAACTAGTTGTTGGGGGCGCACAGCTTCAACGCTGTCAGCCACCTGGTCAATTTGGCACATTGTGCACACAGCATATGCAGCCAAATGAGAAATCCAACCCAATCAATTACCGTCCCCTCAGTTTACCTACAAAAAAGTGATGGAAGAGATTGTTGGCAGCACTATCAAGCTGCACTTGCAAAGAATAATCTGCTCACTGATACTTCATTTGGGTTCTGCCAAGGCCACATGGCTCCTAACCTCATTACAACCTTGGTCCAAACAGATTACAAAAAAAACTGAACTCCTTAAGATGACAATGACTATGCTTGACATCAATGTAGCATTTGAAGTATGGCATCAAGGAGCCCAAGCAAAACAGGAATCAATGGGAATCAAGAGACAACACTTCACTGATTAAAGTCATACCTAGCTCAAAGGAAGATTGTTGTGGTTGTTGTCATCTCAGTTCCAGTACATTATTGCAGGAATTCCTCAGGATAATGTCCTAGTTCCAACCACCTTCAGCAGCATTCCTTCCACAACATCAGGAGTGAGGATGTTCGTTAATGACTGCAATTTCAGCACCATTCACAATTCCTCAGATACTGAAGGTGTCCATGGTCAAATGAGGCAAGACCTGGGCTGAAAAGGGGCAAGGAACTTCCGTGCCGCATGCACTGCGCAATGACCGTCTCTTAAAAATCTAGCCTTCACCTCACTGCATTCAATGGAGTTAATACTGAACTGGGCTAGCCTATAAATTGAGGCTGCACAAAAGAGGTCGGAAGCTAGGAGCTCTGCCATCCACCATCTGAAAAGGCACAAGTGAAGGATGAAATGGAACACACCTTTCAGGCAATTGGAGAATAACTCCAACACAAGTAGCTCGTCATCATCTCATTTGCTTGACACCCCCAACAACCATTTTCAACTTTCACTCCCCTCACACCACCGTCATAGTGGCAGTCACACGCACCTTCTAAAAGGTGCAACTAGTAGAGTAAAGAAAAAAGCCCTTTAGCGAATTACTTCTGCACCAGTCACCCTGCACCTATTTTAATCATTTTTCCCACCACTTCACTTGTACGGTTACCAAGAAGCAGCTGTTTAAAGTTGCACTGGTGCTTATATCAGCTGATGGGCAACTTGGCAGCCAGTGACACCAATAACCTGGAGCAGGTGGAAGAGGAGTCAGCAGTGTCATCTTAATAGTAAAGCTGCTTGAGCTGCAGGCCTAGATATCATTTAGATAGGGAGTAGCGCAAGGCTGAATACTTCCAGGCCTTCTTCCAGCCTCACTACTGGTAGACCAACAGCAGTAAGTGGCAGAGATAAGACTGTTTTTAAAAAAGGGTGAAATTTCATGATTTGAATGTTACAATTCGAGAACAGCAGAAATTCCTCACTCTTGAAAACAACCGTACATACTGACCAGTGAGAGGGACAAGAAACAGGTTATGGAATCGATACAAATCTTTATTTGTGGATTGTTTGATTAAAAGAGAACACATTATACTTTGAAGCAAATTAATTACTTCATGCCTTGTAGACAGACAGTACAAAACTGAATTTCTGTCACATTACTGTCACAGCTTAGGAATTTCTTTGTAGAATAAACAATGCTCCCCAAACTTTAGCTAGCTATAAATAACATATATAATGAGGTAGAAGTTGACTTTAAACAAAGAAAATATTTACATTACTTTTGCTTCACATTAATTAACTGACATCTAAAATTTAAAGCCTGATTTTTTTTTCCCCTTTTGATTATGCGGAATCCAAACACTTGGATCGAAACTTCTTTGATCCTACAAATCATAACTTGATCCATGATCTGTACAAATAATTTAATCATTTAAAAGGTTACATTCAGCAGACATTGAAAAAATTCTGCATTATACTATATACTTTGCATAATATTGGAATAGCTAAAATGCTTAAGTCTTAGAAAAGAACTATTATTAATGAGATGCAAAATAGGCAGGATGTGAAAATAGATGCAGAAAGTGTTAAATACTCAGGTCAAGAGAGAAACAAAGTTAACAGCAAGTCGAACACAACTCTCTTTCAGAACCAAAACAGGAGGCAGAAATATCATAGGTTTTATATTGTTGAAAAGGCAAAGGAAGAAGAGGGGAAGGTCTGGGATAAATGTAGAAGTTAGCAGAGATTAAACAAAGATGCCATGGAACAAAAAACAAAGCGGTGGTAAAAGCAGTAAAGAAACAGCATATGATCAGTGATCATGAGTGGCAGAACAAAACAGTTCTGTCCACAAAAGACATGAAAAACAAGTTTAAGACCGTTACATGGCAAAAAAAAATTAAAATGGGGGAGTAAGCTTATGGCCAGGAGTCCAGAAGGCTATAATACAGCCTTATAAAAAGATGAAATTATGTTCCGAGCTTGCATTAAGCCTCACTGGAACACTGCAGTAGGCAGAAGATAAATGTGAACATGACAACAAGGTAGTGAATTAAAATGGCAAGCAATCAGAAGCTTAGTCATGCATGTGGACTGAGCAGAGGTATTTTGCAATTCAGTCTAAGCTGCACTGATACACAAGATCCTGTTGTAAACAGCCAATACAGCATACTAAATGAAAGCAGTGCAATCATGTCTCACCGAGATGTAAAGCTTGTGGCTTGGACAGTGAGAAGGCAAGACGTACAAGGGCAGTTGCAACATCACCTGCAATTGCTTGCAAAGTGCTGCGGGGAATTGACAAGTAGACCATGATGTTGCAGAGAGAAATGTTCCTTCAAAATGCTGACAGGGAAAAAGGGAAGGGTTTGGCAGTGACATCACATTGCAGGTGATGGAAATGGCAGAGGATAATCCCTTGAATATAGACACTGGTGTGGTATAAAGTGAGGACAAGGTGAGTGAAAGAACAGGGGTGGGCATGGGGGAAACTTCAGTTGAGGAAAAGGAAGATATCAGAAGCATTGTTGCAGAGGCTTGCAACATTAAACCAGGTGAGATGGACAAGTGTTGTCAAGGTAGATATCAGCTATTTGATATAAACCCAACTCATACAGCTCCCAAAAAGTGCAGTTCCTCACACCATACCTCCTGCAAAGATTCTATTCCATTCTCCTCGTTTTTCCATCGCCCTCTTCTCCATTCCAGACCTTCCTTTTGTTCTTTGGCCCCCTCTCCTTTCCACGCCATTAAATCTTATCACATTTCTTCAGAACTGAAGAAAGAGAGTCATATTTGACTTGAAACATTACCTCTATCTCTCTTCACAAATGCTGCCAGACCTGAGTATTTCCAACACTTATTTTGGATTTCCAAAATACACAATATTTTGCTTCTTTGAAAATAAAAGGCATCCTTTATAGCTAGAATTTTATGAAAATACTTAACAGGCTGGCTACATATTATCAAAAATCACAGTTACAATTTGTTGGATTTTAACAGAACAGATGAAGTATAGGAGATAATGTTACTACTCAATTTCTATAAATTTGTGCAAGTAATTAGGATTATTTTACGTTCTCACCTAAAAGCAAAAAAGCATCTCAATTACCAATTACAAATAAAATGCAAGGTTAAAAAAAGCAGAACATTCTAAAGAACTGTTCATACTGTTGTATAGGATCCCACATTCTACTTGGGGCAAAATATTTCGTGGGAATAGCTATTGCTCTAATGCCAATGTGTATAATATGCTGGATAACTATACTCAAAATTAAACAATCTTTAGGAACGAAAATTGACAACACAAGCAAAATTCTAGATGTGGTGAAAACTATATTCTATAATCATACTGGGGTCAAGCACATGTATTCAAACAAGTGAAGACAAGGTGAGTGCAAGGAAATGGTGGAAAGGGTGGAGTACCAAATTTTTTGGGGGCAACAGGAGTGGGGAGAAGAAGGGAGACCCTTACTTGAGGAAAAAGGGCATACCTGGAACACTGTTGCAGAAGCAACAGATGAGATCATGAAGGTACAATAGCATTTTCATTCATTTGTCATTATTACTACTTTTTATTGTTCAATTACTTAACTAGTTAAAATACTTAGTCAACCTTCTGACAATACCACAACTTGACATTTGCACTTTTACAACTCTGCCCATATAGACATCTACTAGTGTGGTTTATGTAGTCTTTTCCCTTCCAGGGCATTTTGGCAAGGAGAGATTTATTTTACAAGAACTTTATTACTTAACATTTTAAAATGACTCATGCTACCACTGCACACCCCTGAACAAAACAGGGGTAAGTGGCAATGAGCTATTGTGGAGCTAAATTGTGCTGAAATAGATTTTCGTTCTGTTTCCAAGAATTTTCTTGGGCAGCATCAAGTGAGTTGCGGGGGAAAGGTGAAGAGAAAAAAAAATTTACAAATGCGAGCACAGCTTGCTCCATTCTCCATGCTGTCATTCCAACTTCCTATAGCCTTGGGTCCAAGCCCATATCTGTTGGCCTTATACATTTTCCCCTCCTTTGATGATCAGTAATAAATCTGTCAACCACATAGCTCTATTCAAAATTCCTCCCCAAAAACATTTTTTTTTACTGCTGGAAAAGAAATAGCAAGATCTCCTCAAAAATCTACTTTAATCGACCAAGTCTTTACTTGACTATCATTAATATTTTCATGACTAGTTGGAGCTGTCTTTTCATGTGAAATATCTTACAACATTTTCCTCATTGAACAGGCTATAAAAATGCAGTTTACCTTTGGAAAAGGTAAAGTCTAAAAGGTGAAAACCAAAGAGGGTGGAGGCTACTGGCTTCTCTTTCAATCAAATTCTTAACTGTGGACTTCCAAAGGAGATGAGCAGTTCGACTTTGCTACCAGGGATTAGGTCAGTCTCTTTTCAGTAAGTATCAGGTGAATTACATACCTTCTGGTGATGTTGAATATTGCACTTTGTACTGTTTTCAGAACTGTTTAGCACACACAAAGAAGTTTCAAATGGTAGGTGGTCAAAGGGGCAGAGAGAAGGATCTATCAAGCTAGCAGAGAATTCCTATTCTTGTTGCACTAGGGAGAGTGTCCCAGGGCAGCACTGAGAAGAGTAGAAGGTCTAGCAGCGTTGTGAAGTGCTCTTTATAGGCTGTTGAGTAGGCACAAACTTCGGTTTCAGATCAAGTTTTCTTTAGCTGCAGTTTGCTCTTTGGTTGTTTCAGCTTATTTTATTTCTGTCAACGTGATCCGAACATGAAGCAGCAGTTTCAGATGGTAAATTCAGTTCTATTTCACTTCATACTGAAAAGAGAAAAAGAACCAGCATTAAAAAATGGCAAAGCATAATTTCTGGCTAACTCATTTAAGAACTAGAGTGGTCAGAATGCTGAAACATTTGTACAAATAAGAACAATGAACATGTTCTAGACAACTGCATTGCCTGCAGTCAGACATCTTAAACTTCTATTAAGGACATCTGGAAATGATGCTACAGCTGTAAGTAGTTGTTCTGAGTACTTGCCTCCAGCTTTAGGAGATATCAGATGGGCATGGGTGAAAGATTCAACCTACATCTAAGATTTAAATCAGCAGAGGGAAAAGGCTCACATTAAAAATAACTGGCAAATCATAAACAGAAGTTCTTATTAAAAATGTATTGGCTTTTGTGCCTAATTCAACGCAAGACCACAGGAATAACTGCAGAGGGAAAATATAAAGTTGGGTTAAAGCCATATTGCAAAGTTTTAAAAGCCATTGAATCTCACCCAAGTCCATGAAAGGGAATTTTCTACTGCTGGAAATACTCAGATCAGGTAGCATTTGTAAGGAAAAGCAGAATTAAAAGTCTGAAGTTAACACTGTCCACATAGATACACCTGGACCTTTTCCAGAATTTTTTATTTCAGAAACCCAGCATCAACTGTATTGTTACCTAATAGTCACTTACAAAGTTAACGTTGAAGATCAGAAGGTAAGATTACTGATCCAGTTAGGAAGCTGGACATGTGCTTAGCAATAACATATAGGTACTCCAACGCACAGGATCTGACTCGAGATCTATGCTGGACCCGCAAACATTTACCACACTCACGGATGACTGATGATTTACTAGAACGTAACATGTAAATTTTCCAATGCCACAAAGATAGATGACATTGTAAACAATGTACACAGAAGTGTATAACATGAATGGGCTAAACTATCGCAAGTGGATTTCAGCACACGAATGAACAATAGTGCATGATTTAATTACAAGCAATAGTACAGAGGACTTTCCCCAACATTAATAGCTGATTCAAAGGACAATCAAAAGGGACTTGGGGATCCAAGTATAGATTAGAATAGCAAATACGTAAAATAAATAAAGTGCCAGCTTTCTAATACAGAATTTATCAGATTAATACCTGGATGTGCATACTATGGGGCTGGAAGACATTTAGAAGTGGGGAAGAGTTCAAAGGAATTTGCAAACAAGGTTAAGAATTTTAAAAGTCAAGATATTGCTTGCTTGGGCACCATATAGGTCAGTGAAAACATAGGGAAGGAACAAAAAAAGTAACAATGTTGAGTATAGTGCATCTTTACAAGTTTGCCAATGCACCAATGGCCTTCCAGTCACCCATAAAACAAAATCAGTCACAGAGTTCAGAGGACCACTGGTGTTACATTTATTCTGGAGACAATGTTAGCTATGCTAAAAACCTTTGATAAGTGTCTTATGAGAGCAGGAGTTTAAAAACCATTTGGTGCTAAAGATAATGCAAAATGGATCACAACTAAGGTGTAATTTGAATAGGGCTGTTCCTTTATTGATCTGGTGACAAGGGCTTAGTGTTTGGTTCCTATCTGTTTGTTTACTAACAACTGGGGACTGAACAAATTTGCAGTGCTTAGAACCTTGGAAGAAAATAAACTGAAATCATTGGAAGGACTGGGAAAGTGGGGCCATCTGTCTTTTTATAAATATAGATTGTGCAGTTACACACATGCAGAATACAATAAGTTGAAACATGCATTATACGGACTAAAGTTGGAAGGAAGTGCGACTGAGGAGTAATATCCAATTACTTCCTAAAAAGTTTAAACACAGTATCAGGATGCTGGAACCAATATGAACAGATTTCTGGCAAGCAACGTGCAAGCTTTAGAAAGAAGATCAGATATAACTCAACAGATCTATAACATTTTGAATAGTTTCTGCTGAAACTACATGGAGAAAAGGTTACTTTGTGGCCAAGTACAGACTAAGGGACATAAATACGAGCTATGAGCAGCAGGCCATAAAGAACTCATTGTCGAATGGATCAAGCAGACAGCATTAATACACACAAGTGCGGGGTGCACACTGCCTCATTGTGATTATAAACAGACCTACAGAAATGACTAGCCTATGCTAATCTATACAGTAGATTCTAATATTCAAAACCAAACTACAATACTTTAATGAAACCTTATTTGGAATATGATGCATAATTCTGGTGCCACCTCAACTTCTAAGAACAGATACCAGAAATATTCAAAATGCATAAACACTGGCCCACGTGCACTGGAAAATAACAGCTTTCAACTCCACTTTGGATTCAGTGCGAAGAACAGATTTTAAGGGGATTGGTTCAGATATTTGAAGTGTTTAAGGGTCCAAATAATCAAGGAGATACATAACAGACCTGGATCTTACAGATTCAGACATTGCCTTATTTAAAATTAAGAAAGCAGTCAATGATTGAGATACAGAATTCATTTCACCCTTTCTGCAGAAAGAGCATCTTAACATTTTATTAAAAAAGGAACACAAGAACCAGAAGCAGTAGGTGGCCACCTGGCCCTTTGAGGCTCTTCTGCCATTCAATTAAATCATGGCTGATTATTTTCACCACTTCAGCTCCACTTACCCACTCTCTCTCACCATAACCTTTAATTCCTTTACGGTTCAATAATTATCGTTTTTAAGAACATTCAACAAGGAAGCCTCAACTACTTCAGTGGACAGGGAATTCCAGATTCACAACCCTTTGTGTGAAGAAGTTCCTACTCAGTTCAGTCCTACACCTGCTCCCGCTAATTTTGACACTATTGCCCTCTTGTTCTAGTTCCACCTGCCAGTGGAACAACCTCCCTGCTTCTATCCTGTCTATGCCATTCATAATTTTATGTTTCTATAAGATTCACCCCCCCCATTCATTCTTCAAAATCCAATGAATATAATCCCAGTCTACTCAGTCTCTCCTCAAACCAATCCTCTCAACTCCTGAATCAACCTAGTCAATCTCCTCTGCACCCCCTCCAGGGCCAAAACATTCTTTCTTGAGTAACAGGACCAAAATTGCACGCAGTACTCCAGGTGCAGCCATCAGCCTATATAGCTGCAACGTTATCTCCCTGCTTTGAACTTGATCCCTTTAGCCACAAAAGGACAAAATTCCATTTACCTTAATTACCTGTTGCACCTGCAAACCAACCTTCTGCAATTCATGCACAAGGACATCCAGGTCCCTCTGCACAGCAACAAGCTGCAATTTTTTTACTGTTCAAATAACAGTCCTTTTTAATGTTATTTCTACCAAAATAGATGACTTCACATTTATCAACATTGTTTTCTATCTGCCAGACCTTTGCCCATTCACTTAAAATTATCTACACCCCTCTGTACACTTTGCTCTACCACTTATCTTACTGTCATCTGCAAACTTTGACACGCTACACATGGTCCCCAACTCCAAATCAATGTAAACTGTAAACAACACTGATCCCTGAGGCACACTACTAGTCACTGATTGCCAACCAGAAAAGCACTCTTATCCCCACTCTTTGCTTCTTGTTGGTTAAGCAATCCTCTATCCATGCTAATACATTGCCCGTAACACCGTGCACCTTTATCTTATGCAGCAGCCTTTTGTGCAGCACCTTATCAAAATCCTTTTGAAAATCTAGATCACCACATCTACTGGCGCCTGTTGTCCACCAAACTTGCAATCTCTTCATAGAATTCCAGTAAGTCAGTTAAACATGACCTGCTCTTCATGAACCCATGCTGCGTCTGCCCAATGGGACAATTTCTATCTAGATGTTTGAATCTATCAAGGAAGAAATAGCAAGACATTTTCCCCACTACAGAAGCTAAGCTAATCAGCCTATAATTCCTCATCTTTTGTCTACCTTTTTTTTTCAAAAAAAAAAAGAAAAAAGCTGTGGCATCACATTTGCTGTTTTCCAATCTGCTGGAACTGCCCCAGAGTCCAGCAAATTTTAGAAAATTACCACAAGAGCATTTGTTATTTCTCCCACCATCTCTTTTAGTACCCTGGGACACATTCCATCAGGGCCAGGAGACTGCATTAATACATTGAACAATCAGATTAATACACACAAATGCAGGGTGCGTACTGCCTCATTGTGATTTTAGCTCCTTTAGCTTGCTCAACACTACCTCTTTCATGATAATGACCGTTTCTAGGTCCTCACCTACGTTGCTCTCCTTGTCAATTATTGACAGTTATTAGTGTCCTCCACTGAAGACTGAAAATATCTGTTCAATGCCTCTGCTACTTTCTCATTTTCCATTATTAAATCCCCCTTCTCATTCTCTAAAACAGGAGTAATATTTACTTTAGCCACTCTTTCATTTTATAGGTTTTCAGAAACTTCTGCTATCTGTCTTTATATTCTGAGCTAGTTTGCTCTCAATGTTTTATTTTTCCTTATGGCTTTTTTTTTGTGGCTGTTGACCAAAGTTTTCCCAGTTTTCTAGTTTCCTGCTTGTCTTTGCCACTTTGTACGCCGTATCTTTTAATTTCATAGATCCCCAAGGAAATAAGGGAGGCTATGGCTGATTACCCCTTTTCTACATCCTCCCTTTTCACTGGTCTATACGTTTGCTGAGCACTTGGAAAACCTTGCTTTGAAAGTCCTCCACTGCTCCTCAACTGTCCCACCATAAAGTCTTTGCTTCCTGTCTACTTTAGCACTCAGAAGGCAGAACAAATAATTTTAGGAAGTAGTTTGAATTTGGAGCCTCTCAGGCTAGCCTGACCGCCTTTGATCGATACAGAATTCCCTATGTTGAATTTAGGCCAGATGAGCAATAAAATGGAAGTCTATATGGGTCTGATTATCTTTTCTCATCCAGAGTATCACAGAACACTAAACATTTCAAACCATAAGATTACCTCAGAAGAATTCTGTAAGCCCAAATACATGAAGAATGAAGAACAAAGGACAAATTCCCACAATGGATTCATTAGAGACATCTTATGTACAATAAAAAAGGTGAACAGAACAAGGTTCTAGAATTTACAACTACAATGCGGGGCAATAGTTGCAAGTTAAAACTTTCATTCCCTACACACCCTGTTCTAATCACAGCTGTAATACCAGAAAAGACACCATTTCTCAACCCAGTTAACCAAAAAGCAGTCAAAAAGCAAGATACCATTCAGTGCTGGTTACAGAGCATCACTGCAGAGGCCTGGGAACAGACTGCACATTCTATCCTGAAACTTCAAGGGCAAATTCCATCATCTTAAAAATTAGCTGAAGCAGGAATTAATATTCTTTCAAAACTTCTTCAGAAAGAGCCAAAATTGACAACTGGGCACCATTTTACTTCATGTGTAATGCTTTTATAGGGGGTCAATAATTTCAGTTGCTGCTTTAAATTTCAAATTAGTGAAAATGTAATCCCTATTTAACTTCTAATTCCATTAAATTTATCTGTAAAGTCTGAACCAATGAGAGGACATGATTTCATGTTTGAAATCATCCTCGAAACATGACGAAAGTCATTAATTTGCTACAAATCACTCATACATGTTAAAGATTAACTAACCTAATATTTTAATTGGTTTAAGGTTTTGAATACTACTACATATTAGCAAAACATACTGTAATGCACCAATCACCTTGTCACTGAGCTCACGACTCCAGCTACACAGACATCAAGAGCAGAAAAGAGAGGCAACACTGCTTTAACCCCCCCCGCCTCAAGATTTCAATAGCTAATACAAAACAGACAAATAAATTAATTAAATCTACTCCAAGCAATTTAAATTCAATGGATGTTGATACAGTCAAATAGTGCACAGGCTGCCCACTTAAAAGGACTGGAAAGTATAACAACTTAGTTATTACTACCTGTATATGAATCCCAATTTTAAGAATGGAGCCATGCTGTATATGAATAATCCCTGATGAAAATGCCATGCCCAGGAGGGTTGCAGGCTCAACCCTTAAGTTTACTCTCAGCCAAAACACCACTCCTAATTACATCAAAATCCCTTAAAACACCAGAAGAATAAGGCCATGGTTTCTGCTCTAGCCATTCTCTGCTGTGAAAACAGGGTCGCAGCTGAGGTATAAGATAGCCTTAGCTACCTAAATGAGAAAGTATGGAGGGTCAATACTCCTGCAATCACAGTACTGCATAATTAAAAGATCAAGAGAAAAAGTGAGTAACAGCAAAACACTGGTAACAATTAGAAAAGGACATAAACATGCTCTGTACACATGGTACATTGGAACTGGGGATAGAAAGGCAAACTATTGCTTTGATTACAACTCAATCTAGACTCAATTTATTAAAAGGACAAAACTCATGTACCATGATTAGCTGGCACAACTGCACTTAGTAATTTTAAAATATCTTTTGGTAAGGACTCAATTTTACCAATCATGCCATTAAAACGTGACTCAGTCTAGCTTATACTTCGCTTCTCTCAAATGTCTCAGTTCTCTCAGAAACTGAGCATGAACAGATTCCTCTTTGGTTTATGACCCAAATGGCCATTCTCCTCTAGTGAGCTTCTACACTGACTGCTACAAAAAAAATTACAGTGAGGGCTGATTGCAATCACCAATGCACACATGCAGACCTCTGCAGAATGAAATCCTAGATAAAACTTGAACAGATATTGACTCATTTGATCCTCCTTCTCCCAGACATCTTTGTAGCTAATCACAGCTAGACAATTTCAAGTACTACAGCCCTGCAAGTTTTAAGGCATACTTCACCCTAGCAGACTTCTATATTTTAATTGTTCTATAATTCATAAGAAAGGTATTAAATTGCTTAAATTAACATACACTTTTAGGTTGGCAAGATTTTAATTCTTGTGTAGACAGAAAAGTGTGTGTCAGCCCCCATCTTTGAAGAGGACTTCACAAAAGGTTACACTGGAGAGGTGATGGCCTCATGGTATTATCAGAGGACTGTTTATCCAGAGTCTCAAATAATGCTATGGGGACAAGGGTTCAAATCTTGCCATGACATATGATAGAATTTTGTTGGAGTCAAAGATCAAATGTTGACCACGAATCCACTGTCAAACCATCTGGTTCACTACTGTCCTTTAGGGAAGGAAGCTAGCACCCCTACCTGGTCTGACCTACATGTGATTCGACAGCAATATGGTTGAGTCCTAACTGCCCTTTGGGCAATTAAGGACAGGCCTAGCCAGCGAGACTCATCTTATGAATACATAAAAATACTTAAATCCGAAGGATTAAGTCTACTACCAATGCAACGACTATTACAATATTGAACCTATCGATCGTTTTACACACCTAATATTTATAAGCTTATTGAAAATAAACGACTGCGCGAAATTTCAAAACATCAGCTTGAACTTTACAGAACGAAATCCTTCGGTTGCTCGAAGCAATATTCGCCTAACACAGCACCATTGCCCCTACGTATACACCCTTTGTTCTATTCTTCACCAAAAAAAAAGGGCGTCCCAAAAGGATAATTGCAGGAGACTCAATTCGACATTTAACATTAGTTAACGGAAAACACAGCCTTCAGTGTTTAAGCACAATACTGCAGATATCGCCCATGATCTTGCGCACGTTGTTTACAAGGCACCAAACACAAGAGTTGCGCAATTGCACCTACTTCGTGCATGAGCCGACCGAGGCCCAGCAGACCAGCCAGTCATCCTCGCGCTATGCACGCTGGTATTTGTAGTCCTTAGGCGCCCCGCCCTTCCTCCCAGGTACCAAACAACTCGGAAGCGAGGACTACAGCTCACAGAGGGCGCTGCGCGACGCAGGAAATCCCGCCCTTACGTCGGCAACCGATTGGCACTGAACGCCATTCATCAACGGCAGCCCATAAAAGGTGACCCACACGCAGGCAAGAAATTTTCACCCGAATTGCGGGTTAGAAAAAAAATTCAACTGAACGCTGAGGTTATCATGTGTAGGAAGAACAAGTGGGGCGGTAACTATATCCCCGCAGGCAAACACTCTTCCTTTAACCACTCGACACCGACGCACAAAGCGATGGCGCACCCCCGAGCCTGAGACGACATGACGGACAGAAAGCACAACTCGCTCTGTTCCCCCCGCGATGGCGCAGCTCGGCAAGCCCGGGCACAGCTCGGCCTGGACCAACCGCCGCCAACAACCCCCGCCTGGCCACTGTTCCGCGCCCGTCCGCCCATCAACCGGCCGCACTGCCCCTATATCACACTCACAGCCGCCCAGGAAACCACACGGGACAGGGGGAAGACGACAGGCGCCATTTAATCAC